ACCATAAAAATAGCGGACTTGAAAGATGTAATCCGTGATATTTGTCGACACGGTCAAAGCAGGACAACCACACAAACACAAACGAGAGGGAACGGCTTCTTGGAAGTTTCAACACGATGTGGCGCACAAGCTGTCAGTTGCCGAACCCAACCAAACCCCGAGAATTCCTGACTTTGAAGAATCGCTTGTTGCCGATATAGACGTAGGACTTTTCGAACACTGATAGCTTTGGTGCACATCCAATACGTTGTCGAGAGACATCCTAATAAGACCGCAGGGTTAGGCGACAGATCGAAGCCAGTGTTGCCAGATGGTCCGACCAAAAAGCCGCCAAACGACTGGAAAGTATAGCCCAAATATAGCCAAAGCGGTAAAAAGTATATAGCCCAAAATAGCCAACACTAAAAGCAGCGATTTTTAAGCCTTATATTGACAATTTCTCACACCTAGACAACACACATTACAATCTGAGTTTCAACCCTCTGATGCACCACATTTTGTGTGGTGCAGAAAAAAAAACTTTCGGAGGATAAAAATTTGTACAACAATGACCCTTCCTTCGTTTGTTTTCAGAAGTACAAAACACACATCATACAGTAAAATAACAAAATACAAAAGCAGAACAATCAGAACACTAGGAGTTTCAAACCAGAATCTTGATATCTCAGGTCCTTACCAATATCCCACCCGTCTCTTTTTTTTTTTTTTTTTTTGAAGAATATAAGTGTTACTTATTCTGGTTCACGCTATTTCCGATTCTGTTATCCTTTCTTGGGGTGGGCAACGGCTGGAAGGTAGTCAATTGTTTTGCGGTGAAACTGCGGACTTCTCATTAAACTTGGGTGTTTAAGGATTCTCACAATGGGCACCAGAGCAGCATTTGGAAAGTTCAGTCTCCGTCTCGGCAAAGCCATACGCGTCCAGGTTGAAGACGCGGTACCAGGCCTGTGGTTATAGTGCAATCTGTTTGGATTGCTCCACTGCGCTGTAGGGAGACCGCTTGAACCCTGCCAGCACTGCTTCACTGCGCATTGTAAAAACCCCGAAGTTTGTAGAAGTTTGAAGCCTTTCCCCATCCTCTCTCTCCTCTCGACTAGCCAAAAGACACACAATTTTTTGTTTCGAAACTGATTGAAAGTTAGAAAGTTAACTAGCCGAACCCTAAAGTTAGGCGTCGAACCTGAGGTTCGACAAAAGTTCGCCGCATTCTTAGGTATAGCCCAAAATAGCCGCATAGCCAACCACGAAATTTTGACGCCAACTAGAAAAAGATGTAGCCCAATTTGGCTATATATAGCCCAATCTGGCAACACTGATCGAAGCAGGTGGACGCGCGAAGTTCGAGCTGGAACTGACAACAAGCAGACAAAGCAAAAGCGGCTGCTAGGCGCACCCTTCCGGATCTCGATGCTTATCAGCGTGTAGCTCGCGCGCGGCTGTGGGTCACGTGACGGGTGACAAGAGAGGAGGGAGGGGGCGAGGACCACAGGGACGGCCCCTCTCCCTCTTCCCAGGCATTCCAGTGAAATGTGTTTTTGTAACCTCGAAAAAAAAAAAAAAAAAAGAACACGCGCGCCCGCATTTTAGCACGCTCGAACCTTGGAAATGGCGGCGGGGCGGCCAGAAGCTCGGCTTGCGCCCAAGCGAAGAAAGTACTCAGCGCGAGCTCGTAGTTTGACTGCTGCAACGACGGGCGTGCTCTCGCAATGCTCGATGTTCTTGCAGCCGCGTGTACGCGTCCCTAGTAGCACCATATGTTGCCATAACGTTACTGGAATGTCACAAATGTAATGTAACGTTGGGGCACATTTGGGTACGTTATAGCAACGTTTTAAAACTAACGTAACAGGAACGTTCTCCTGTAACATTGTTTGACTGTCACTGAACGTCATGTAACGTTACATCACATAGGCAAACGTTCCAGGAATGTTAGAGGAGCAACATTGGAGCAACGTTTAGAAATAACCTCTTGGTAACATTTCCATCCTGACATACGGGCAATGTTTTGCAGCGATGTTGGCCTAATGTGACGAAATGTGACACATCACCACATCACACAGAGACTGGTCAAGGATACACGAAGATACCAAACTTGGAATAGTTCAATGTTGATTTTCTTGTTCAAACATTTTTATTTTTATACAAACAGAAAGACCGCTCTAATGCTTGTGACTGGCGTGTTTGAAACAAATGTTCAAAATGTACTCTAGAAAGATTGCAGAAAACTAAAAAAAAATCTGTCCAAAAGGTTTATAATAAAATTGAATTTATTTGTGTTTGTGGCATTTCCCTGCACAATTTTATAATCAAGTTTAACATCATAATGGCCTAAGTGGTAGTGCAAGGCTGGCAAACTGATAATGATCATGGCTTATATTTCGGGGCCATAGAATTGTCCAGTGAGCCTCAACTCGATAATTAAGGTGAACAAAATGGTTTGATGTCGCCACACTAAAGCAGACGTAAACACACCAAGGCACCCTACTGTGGTTTTCGTCATACTACGAACGAAAACACAAACCAACAGATCTTGTCGAGAAGTCTGTTAAGACTTGCCTGTTTGAGCTGGTTTCCTTCCTGGCCCTTCACCCGTCTCGGATTGGCGAGTCTGCTCAATATTCACGAGCTAGCATGCACCCTCATCGTTGCTTTTAGGTTAGGGTGATTCGGATGCCCAGCTTTTGGAACGCATGCTAAAGATAACAAGAGGGTGAAGTCATGGGGTGTTATTGTGTTATCGAAGGTGGAAAATTCACGCTGGTGACATGACGACCCAAAGACCTCCCGAACATGTATAGGATGGCATGAGTGGTAGCCTGTAAATTAATTTGGAACACGTAGCTAGCTGAAATTATCACCAAAGGTGTATTTTAGTGGTGTGCTCTATTGCATTATATTCGAAGCGTAGCTCTGTTTCTGTGAAAAATATGAACATGATTACCCTACGGCCGGGTCGCAGAGAGCTCTTGGGGTCGACCGACTACTCTATCCGACCCGAGCTTGCTGCAAAATGATTTCTACTATTTAAAATAGAAGCGAGGACTAATTTCACAACGGACTCAGGTCAAATCGAAAATCGAGCGATTGGGTGGTTCTTACTCTTGCCCTGTCGTGGTTGTCTGCGCCAGTGCTTGCCATAGAGATTTATAGAAATCTTGGAGCGTGCAGTATAAAATACACCCTGGTTGAAAATTTGAAATAGCTACAAGCGGAAGCTCATATATCAGTCCAATTTACAGCTCACCACTATATTTATTCGGAAAACTCAAAAAGTGGCGGCTCATTGCGACATACTGCAAGTGAGACGACTGGCGGTAGCCATTGTCTCATAGACGGAGGAGGGGAAAAGGGAGACGGTTGAAGGGGAAGGTGAGCGAGGAGACGGGAAGGAGAATAGAGGCAGGAAGAAAGAGGTCAATTATGAAGGTCGAAGGCCGAAAACACACGCTCACACAAGGAAGATAGGAGACGGAAGGAAAAGGGGACTAAGCATGAAAAGCTGAGGGAGCATGAAGAGAAAGATGAAGAGAAGTGGGGCAGGGAGGAGCAAGAGCGGACGGAGGAGAGGAAAGAGGGGAGGAAGAGCACACAGAGGGAAGATGAGAACAATGGGGGAGAAGGAGTGGAGGGGAATGAGGAGATGAAGTGGGGTGGGGCCAGGTAAGACGTAAAACATCACAGGTATTGCTGTGATGTTTTACGTCACGGCCACGGTTGCACGAACGTCAAGATCACACATCCCTGACCACTCAAAATGAAGAGCCATATGCACCTGCCACCAAAAAGAAAAGGTCAAAGGCCATGAACACAAAATCACTCAAACGAGAGAGAAGGGGGAAGAGGGGAGGAAAGGTGAGGTGGATGGGTAGCGGCAAGGGGAAGGTGGACGGGAGAGTAGAGGAAGAGGGGAGGGAGGAATGAGGAGACCGAGGAGATAGTAGGGGAGATGGCGAGGAGGTGCAGTCAAGGGTCCGAAGTCGAGATCAAAGCTTAAAGGCAACGAACATAAAATCCTATGGAGGTAGGGGAGGGGGAGCGAGGGGCCGCTGGCATTAAATCATGCGAGGAAATGAGGAGGGAAAGGTTAGGAAAGGCAACATAGGAGAGATGGGACGGGAATGGGGTGAGGTGAAAGAAAAGTGATTGAGGAGAGAGGGAGGGAGGGGGGGGGGGGGCAGGTAGGAAGGAGATCCAGCATCAAGGGCCACGGATACACGGACGCACTCCGCCGACCACTCAAAATGAATGACCGAAAGGGCCATGCACGGCCATTACCGTAAAAGAAGAGAAGTGAAGCGCGCGGACGAGTGAGTGATGATGATAGCGCATACTATTGTTGATGAACAATATTTCCAGCGCACGGGCGGCTGTGCGTCACTCGTGTGCTTCTGCTTCGCTCGCAATTAAAATGAAACGAGTATAATCGCACACACATAGTTAGTCCTCGTTCACTTCTAGCCAAAGACCTGTCGACACAAGTGGTCAGAACAAAACCAAACCATCTCGGGACATAAAGCTCCAATATTTGAGTTTGAGGCTTCGAAGCTCGCTCTGCGTGGACCACTCTTTGCCTACATTTGTTATCTGAACACATCACAATGGCACAGCACAGTCGCATAGCTACGGTACTACCGTTTCGACGTTAACAGTTCCCTATCATTACCGATATTACGGTCGAGGTCATCCACTGATTCACTCCAAGGCGTTGCAAGATCACCACATCACCACCGTCCACCCTGATCACCCTGATTGCACAAGTACGGCTTTACGGTTATGGCTGTACGGCTTATACTAATTTCCAATTTCTCCAACCAATCTCATGTTTTATAATTCTTAAAGAAAACTTAATTTATAACTGTCAGATAAATTTCCAGAGTTTATTCCTATTTGACACTTCATGTTTAGTCGTTTACTCACACTGTTGATAAGCCAAGACGCCAAGATGCAGCCAAGATGTGCAAGTAGCTCAAGCCAAGCAAGGTCGAAGCCAGGTCGCCAGGTCGGCCAGGTTGACCACGTGACCGCATGTCAACGGACCCTCAAAGCCCGATTCTGTTTCATCGGACCGCTCTGCCGCTCTCTCGGCGTGGAGGATACGTAAACAAAGGTATGTTTCATTTTTGTTTTTGTTGCTACTTGTGCTGAACAATGGAGCGGGCGAAGCGTTCGCTATCAGAGCTATCTGATCGCCAAAAAAGACGTAGGGTAGTCGAAAGTGTTCGCAAGGAACTTGAAATTTGGGATATGAGCAGTGAGGAGTCGGTGGACACTGAGGAAGCATTCCCTCTGCCACCTGGACAACAGGCCGTGGCAGCACATGCAAGTTTTTCCGGAGAGTTTGAGTACCAACGAGCTTCCGAGTGCGAATCTGAGACGAGCGATACGGGTGGTGCACGAAATAACCTAATCTCAAAACACCTGTGTCAAAATCCCCGCTGCGAATTCCCCGCGTTACCTCCCCCGTCTTCAAAATTCCCTTTCCTTTATCCCCTTGTCAGTTCCCCGGGGCCAGTGCTCCTTAGAAGCCATTTGGAAAAGCGCTTTTATGCACACTTCATAAAGCTCAGCTGTGCTATGACGACCCTAGCCGAACTGTGCTCTGCTCAAGCAACACCGAGACGGACCTGAGCCGCCAAGCTTCAAGGGAACCCAGTGCTGTGAGCTTGTTTTAGACGGAGCGCATTTTTCTCTGAAGCCGTCCGACAACTGTGTTCAACTGAAGGGTGGCAACATTGCTGTCGTTAGGAACTTCATAGAGATGCATAGAGATAGCAATGACAAGCCAAAGGCCATTATGGGTAGCATTTTTGGACATCAAAGGGGCATATGACAATGTGAATCAGGAAAAACTTTGGGAACAGCTAAAAGGGTATGGCCTAGGGGGAACCACGGTTAAGTTCCTAGAACGGGTTTATACGGAAACTAGGGTGATTATGAAATGGGAAGCCGAAACTACAAAACCAGCAGCAATAAAAAGAGGACTTAGACAGGGTTGCCCATTGTCTCCCCTGCTCTTTATGATATACCTCAGTGAGATGGAAAAAAGATTAGAACAGAGCAACCTAGGTTTTGACCTGAATTACATGGAGGAAGGACATAAGGTAAATCAACTATTGCCAGGGTTAATGTATGCAGATGACATTGTACTCGTATCAGAAAGCCGTGAGACAATACAGGAACTGATTAGGATTTGCAGCAGGGAAGGGGACAGTTTAGGACTAAAATTCAGTAGGGACAAGTCGGGTATAATAGTTTTCAACGATGAGAAGGGGGAACCCCTGGAGATACAGGACACAGTGATAGAACACGTAGAAAAGTACAAATATCTAGGGGTCTGGCTCAATGAGGGAAGGAAATATCTAGAGGAACACGAGGAGAATACAATTAGAAAAGGGAAAAGAAATTCATCTATTATGAAGCTCAAGGCACTATGGAACTATAACAGATATGAAGTGGTCAGAGGTATATGGAAGGGAGTGATGGTGCCAGGACTGTTTTTTGGCAATGCAGTGCTGTGCATGAAATCTGAGGTTCAATCAGGGCTAGAAATTCGACAAAGAAGCGTAGGCAGATTGGCGCTGGGAGCACATGGAAAAACACCAAATGAGGGAGTACAGGGGGACATGGGATGGTCGTCTTTTGAGAGCAGGGAAGCAATTAGTAAGTTGAAATTTGAACAAAGGTTGACTGAAATGGAGGATACGCGGTGGGCACGTAAGGTATTCAAGTATTTATACATGAAAAGTTTAAACACAAAATGGACGAACCGAACCCGAAAGCTTACATTTTAATATCTACACACTGGTGATGGGGCTGAACAGACTACGTCAGTGAAAAAGAAGGTGAAAGAGGCGGAGAGGAAAATGTGGGAGGGGAGAATGCAGGAGAAATCAGCTTTAGCAGTGTACAGGTCACGAAAGCAGGAGATAAGAAAGGAAAAGCTATTTGACAATTCACTGGGAAGTGCTTTGCTGTTCGAGGCAAGAACGGGAGTTTTGAGGACGAGGACGTATAGGGCTAAATTTCAGGAGACCGACACATTATGTGCCGCCTGGCATAATGATAGCGAGACACTGGAGCACTTGGTTTTGAAGTGCACGGGGCTTCGTCCTGCCCTCCCTGAAGGGGTAACGGATTTGGCTGGGGCCCTGGGTTTCACTGGCGACGATGGAAGGATGGTAGAGAAAAAGATTACAGTGACAAAGAGACGATTAGAAGATTGGTGGAAATTATCTAGGGAAAATTAAACGATGGACAACTAACTAGCACAGCTGGGAACAGTTGGGACAGAGGAAAATTGGGACTCCCTCCCGCGTGGCTCCGGCCCAAAGTTTCAACCCTGTCTCCCAGTGGGTCCGGTGCTGGGGTAACGCCGAAAAGATTTGACCAGAGGAAAATTGGCGACTCCCTCGCCGGGGGGAAGAGGCAGGGGGGTGATGTTTTTTAGTTTTTTTGCCCGATCCCCCGAAGGTCATCCTGGTGATATCCCACACTGCCTGGTGATAGTTAGGGGGAGAAAAATTGGTCTTAAAAGGGCGGGAGGAATCACGTTTTTGTCTTTTTAGACTTAGGCTAGGTGGCGCAAGCTACCGCCCGTAACAAAGGGAATAGCCATTAACATCCATCCATCCATCCATCCATCCATCCATCCTTCATTGAGTCGGATGGGAACCGTAGCATCTGCGGACAGTTTTTCCGGAATCTCAGCAACCTTTATACTTCAAAGTTGCCATCATCAGAGCTAGGACTTTTTAGAGCTACAGGGCTCTCCAAGTAGTATTCAGTGTGGAGTGTGCAGGACATCAGGTGGAAGTGTGTCTGCTTGCAATATAACCAGGGCTATGCAGTTTTTCTTCTACTTCACTTGCAAGTGGGATCCATGTTTGCAACCGTTGCACATTGGTTGTGCTTAATTCGAAAACTGTATTTTTCGTGGCTTATGAGTGGCCTTTGAGGTAATACAGGCTTGATTTGTTGATTTCAGGAAATGTACTCTGTTGTCCATTTATTTGTTGCTTTATTTGTTGATTTCAGGAAATGTACTCTGTGGTCTATTTTTTGGCGGAAAATAATGTTGCAGTTGTTCCTACCTGTTGGGTGTGCAATGGCCGCACGGCATGGCCACCCTACAGATCAAATCGGTTGATGATGGTAACTGAGAGCGTGAAGAGCCCTTTACTGACTGGGCCACATTCTCCTTTCAGGTGATGGCATCATGTTGTAAGTATAGCGGGTGTCTAGCAACCGGGAATTCGCGACTCCAGCGACCTATAGGGGGCGCCACCACCAAACAAACATGGCGGCTGAGTCCAGGTCGCGTCGGCTCGGCCGCGCCGCCTGAATGGGTGGCGCATTCAATTTAACAAATTTTCTTTTGTTGAATGCCCAATTTTACGGGTATTTGAACTGAGACAGTTAAGTGTAGCCGGTGTTTTTTGTTTGCCGAGCATAGTTTTGTTTTGCCGGTGTTTTTTGTTCTTTTCATGTCAAACTTTCCTTTCGGAGACTTCGATCAAAACCGAAACTATGGGCTCCGGAGAAACGGTAATAGACTCTAATTAGTTTTGATCATCTAAGGAAAGCGGCGAGGGCTACAAAATTGTTTCACCGAGAGTAATTTTTAGCTAACTCGCATGCCTCGACCATGCGACTTATCTGTCCGCGAAATTGAGCTCTTGTGCCTGTCCGCGTTTCAAGAAACAGCTCCAGTCGTGTGCTCGGTCAAGAACACAGGCTGCAGGAAAATTACAAAAATTAAGCAAGCGCTTCTTGAGCCAAGGAGCATGTCAACTCGCTGGCGCTTCACTAAGCAGCTGATACTCGTATTTCAATTTAGGTTTTAGTAGCAATCGAGAAGTCATTTTGACGAATATGCGGATTATGTATTATATTACGTACTATGTCCCACTAAAGCGATATTAGTGTATTCTTCGGGTTGAAATATGAACTTAGTTAACTAACTATTAGGTGAACTGCTGAATAAAAGTATATTTGACAGACAGAGAGATACTACTTCAACTTAGCCAAATGGTTCTAGCCGGTAGAACGGAGACGAGTGCGGACAAACTGAAGAGAGTCTTCATTGGAGATTCACGCAGAACCTCTCTGGCATTGAACTTGACTTCGAATCCTGAACGGATAAAATGAGTATTTTTTGTGGCCGGTCAACCTGAGCAATGTAGACGTATATTGCTGCTGGCTTCGACAGGGGTTATAATATAAATATTGGAGGCGCGATAGATCCTAATGACGTGACAGCTTCTAACCTTGCGAGACGCGTCCCCCATTTTTTGAAAGCAGATAATTTCCCTCATTAATCACATGCAGCGAGCAGGTTTTCTGAATCAAGTAATTGCGAAATTAGCCCAACTCCTTCAATGTGGTCTTGTTCGGCGAAAAGCCGCCAAGATGAATAGCCAACGCACCGGCCGGCGTTAGTGGCTCAAATTAACTTGAAGCTAATCGAGGGCAACCAAACTCAAGGAAAGCAGCTATCGAACCTTCCCATTCACTTGACTGCAACATTGGTGTTCCCTCCAGTGAAACACTTCGTCTGTCGACCTCAGTCCACTGTTCTACATCCTTATAAAGAAACCACTTATCAGTTACCAAGCAGTCGTCACTTTGAATGTGATTAGAGACAGACGAGAAATAAAAACGTTTTTCCGTGATTCCTCCTCATCCAAAAAATTGAAAGCACGCGACCGTGTGTTGTGGAGTAAACGGGTTTTCAAACACATGATGGAAAGAAACAATCTACTGAGGCTTCACCACACTAATGAACACTCAGGCAAACTTAAGAAATTGTCGTACCTTCGTCAAATTACATTGCTCGCCCCCGCGCCGACAGCACGTGTCCGCGAAAGCCATCAGAGACGCGGCGGGGCGCGGAGCGACCTGGACCGACTGGTTCCCGGTTTTCCCGCTTGGCGGCGTCCGTTTTGCTGGAGTCGCGAATAGTCAGGAATATTTTAATTACCGGGAAAAATCAGAGATATTGTCAAAAAGCGAGCCCAGTCAAGGAAAACGAGCCAGAAATGCCATTGAGTGCCCTGAGCAAGGAGTTGAGAACCTTGGGGCAGAGAAATAGGCTCTAAGCAGAGCCGCACTCTGTTTAGAGCAGAGCGCGGGCTCTGCTCACCTAATGTAGAGTGTGCTAGAGCACTGTACGAGCCAGAATTTCTAGGCACGGCCCGACCCGGCCCGGTAGAGGCATGGCCCGGGCCCGGCCCGAGCCCGATAGAATATTTCATTTCCAGGTCCGGCCAGACTTGGCCTTGAAGAGACACGGCTCGGGCCCGGCCCGGACCCGGCAGAATTTTAGACAGAAACTTGAGCCCGGCCCAAGCCCGACAAAATATTTGTTTTGTTTAATATAAGTCTGAGCTTGGCCCGATCCTGACAGATTATATACATGAGCCCGAAAAAGTTGGCAGGCTTTAACCTAAAAACTGTCTAAGCATAATGCGAGCATATTTGATTTAATGAACAAAAGGTTGGGGCGCAAACGAGCTTGTGGTGGTTAAACATTTGACTGGTGTGCTCGGCTTTCTTGTTTCAGTGACATATGAAGATGCAAAGTTCAAAGAAAAAAAATCCGGAAGCGGCGTCCGACCTATCAACGAATAATGAAGAGCGGGAGAAAAGAAAAAGGAAGAGACTGCTCCTTTTCCGTCAAGCTTGCCTCTTCTGCAGGAACGACCTAGCACTCAGCCAGCCCCTCAACTTCCAGAACGTGCACCAGTGCCCAAGCAAAAACGCACACGTGTATGTTTGCTTTTTGTTGCTACAATTTCTTAACGCTTTCTAGCTTTTAGATTTTTTATTTTATGTGATTAGCCTCAGCTTGGTTAGCCGCAATTGTGATAGTGAATGGTATCCATATTGTTTATTGAGCACCTGCTGTTTTGGTGTTTCTTTTACAGCGCAGCTCTTAGGCGCCCGTTTTCGGCTTGAGCGGTGTCGCCCTCGCCGTAATCGCGGCGACGTTCCGGCATTAGGGAGTTTTCGTAGACCGCGTTGCCCCCTCCGCTAAGCTTTCCGCAACGAAGAAGTTGCTACTGCGCCTGCGCGCCGATAGCCTTGACTGTGGAGTTCCCGCTATCGTTGCGGGTTGCGGAGGGCCTTGCGGGACGGTGAAAGCGATCTACGAAAACTCCCTATTGTGCCGAAACGTCCCCGCGGGGTCACGTGACCTCCCGAGGTCACATTACCCCCCTTCAGGAGGGTCACGTGACCTCACAATTACGCCGACGGCGACGCCACTCGGAGGGAGGGGGGAGGCGTACACCCTTCTGGACAGGGCCCCCAATTACTGCCTAAAAATCTTTCTAGCATGTTATCATTAGGTCCACGTTAGGCTTCACTTAGCTAGAGAGTTTGTTTTGCTAGCAGGTAGCTTTTTATGCTTCAGTGTAAAGAAGTTGAAAGAGGCCTAGAAGGAGAGTGAGAATCAGACACATGGCATGGTTTTCTGTGGGACTGCCATATCAGGTTGTTGGCCGAACGTGTTGCCAGTGCTCAGCCATCAAAACATGCTTGAGCAGGCGCATCACTCCTTGTGGGTAGGTCACACTTTGCGGAAAAGGTCTAAACTGGATGAAAAGAATGGCTTGTGCATGCAAAGAAACTGAGGCGAAACTGTGTTAGGACAGAGGTAGGCATTTTTTTTTTTATCTTGATGACACTCTCTGCACTGAAATCTGAACGCAACCAACTTTTTTGTTTTATTTTCTTGCAGGAGCAGCGTGTCTCTTCCCAGGAGTGACTGAGGGGCTGCCACAAGGGGAGAAGGCAAGCATGTTTCTGATTACAAGAATGGACAGTTGGGCTGGGCTAGTTGGTAAGAATTGATGTTGAAAAACGGTGCAAAAACCAGACAAAGAGAAAAGAACACACAGCACCTTGTCCTGTGTGTTCTCTTATCCGTGCATTTTGCACTGTTTTTCAGCATGTTTCTGCCTTGATTTTTCTGTTATAGTTTTAAATGTCTGTAGTTGGTTACTTTGATCCCTGTTGGAAGCATGGAATTGGTTAACCGTGTTAAATGCATGGAATTGAAAAAAAAAATCATGCTATTTGAATCATTTAAAAGCTTTTTTTGTCTAATGATTTCTTTCTCTTTTTTTTACAACCATCCCATGAGTGAGTGCCTGTTGTTTGAATTTTTTATGGCAATTTTTAATATGCATATGTTACCTTTTATTTCTATTCATGTATACATTTTAGCCCTAGCTAGTGGTTTCTTTTATTTAATTTATGTACACATTAGTATGGTATTTTTACAAGTTTTAAAATCTATGTTCTTTTTCTAGTCCTTTCTGGTTTATTGCCTCCATTATTTATTTATATGTCCTAGCCCAAGATAGTTTGAGATATATTTAGAATTTTATTTCAAGCTGCTTGCTTTATGTTGCTGAGAATTTTAATATTTTGCATTTTTATTTCCATGCAGATCAGCCTTGTAATTTACTGTGTTCTTTACAATTTTGTAGATCTAATAGCTTGTAAGAAACAGAAGAATACACTGGTACTTGTAACGTTTGTTTCATTTTTGAAATAAATTTATTCCAATAACCTCTTGTTTTCTTCCGGAGTCTTGCTTCTAGGACTTCAAAATGCTAATTCATTAATGGCCTGTAATGCTCATCCATTTACTCATATCAGGCACCGGCTCAAAAAATGACTTCATGACAACCATATATGCAGTTTCCTGGCAACGCTTGTCAATGTTAGTAATTTTCGGGTAACATTGTTCAATAATGTCCAAGTAACACATGCAGTAATATCTGGCCAGTGCCAGCATTTTGTTAAAATGTTTACTAATAAAAGCACTGAGGACAAACACAGATGACCGCTCTTTCATTTAGTTATGACGCTTGTTTTTTGGAAGCAAAGACACGCACACAGATCAAGATTAACTGCAAATGGAAGGCTGGATCGAGGGAACTTCAGGAAGATAAGGGTTTAGTCAGTGACACTCCATGTATTTTAGTCAAGGTTCCCAGATTTTTCCAGTTCTGGCCCTTATCTCCCTATCCCCCTCTTCCCTCCCGCCTTCGGTATCTAGTTGATCTCGACCTGTGTGCGACTCTTTGCTCCTGAAAAAATAAATGTTGTTGCGAAATGAAAGAGTGCTCGTTTGTGCATGTTCTTCGCGTTTTTATTCCTTCACTTTTAAGTAAGCCGTAATGTCAGTGCAACATTTTGGTGTAACATTACTGGATGGTAGAATTCGTGGCCATTAACAACAATTGGCAACGTTAGCTGACGACGTCCGAGTAACATCACTGATCTAACGTCCAGGTAACGTAGAGAGCTACGTTACTGCAACATTTTGATGCGACGTTACTGGGAGGTAGAACTGGTGGCCATTAGCAACGTTTGGCAACGTTATCTAACAACGTTCCAGTAACATTATTTGGGTAATGTCCAGGTAACGTATGCAGTTACGTTACTGTAACATTGTGGTGTAACGTTACTGGACGGTAGAATCCGCGGTCGTTAGCAACGTTCGGCAACGTTACCTGACAACATTCCAGTAACATTGTGGCTACGTTTAGTGCTACTTGGGGCTTCGCTGCGTCTTGAATTTAAGTGAAACGGAATCTAGACGTACATTCTTTCACGCGGTCGCGTCTTCTGCGAGAGAGATTCGAGCTGAATAAGTAAATTGAGGTAACAAAGATGGACACAGTTTTAAAGTTCTGTCGAAAATATCGCCTCACCAACGTCGCGCGTTTACGTAAAACAACAACAAGAAAAGGTGTTAGTTTTAGTTGCAGTATAAGCGAACATCAGCGCAATTGAAATATAAATATAATTACTTGCATTACGCGGACGATCTGAAATCAATGAAGCGGCGCTTCCAGCCTTCCGGAAACATTGGCTGCCACGGCTGAAACGCTAGGCGTGCCCACACCGCCGATCTGTACGTTCAGTATCAAACGGGCTCCGGAGAGCCGTTTGATTAAACCGGTACAGTTTGCAACATGGTCACCGGTTTGAGCAAACGTGCGACAACTTTGTCCAAACGAGTCGCCATTTGCCCAGACGAGCGACCCGTTTGACAAAGGAGTGACCTGTTTGTCCAAATAGGTGACCGTTATGGCTCATACGGGGGACCCCTTTGAGCCATACGGGCGACCCCTTTGACAAACTGGTGACCAGTATGGTTAAACTGTTACAGGTATGGACCCGTTTATTTTCATATAGGCGCCAAATGTTTTTTTTTCAGTAAATGGTTTTGGTTTTTTTTCAGGAAATGGATACAGTGTGCACTGTATGGTTTTGGTTTTTTTCAGGAAATGGATACAGTGTGCACTGCTTGTGGAGAGGAGGACGAGACGGCTGAGCACTTGATACTTGACTGTAAAGGGCTTCACCCTATGCCTACCGAAGACAACATGGATTTAATAAAGTCATGGGGTTTTAGAGACAGTGAAGGGAGAGTGGATTTCAAGACTGTAGAGATTACCAAGCAAAGATTGAGTGAATGGTGGCAGAAAGCGAGGGAAAACTAGGTATTTTCTTATTAACTGATGGCAAGGGGGTTTTATAGCCCCACTTTCTTTGCAGTGCGGAGTGAATATAGATTTCACATTTAAATATTCTAAGCTTAAATGGTAAAACAAAATGGCTAGGTGGCATTAAGCTACCGCCCGATCCAAAGGGCTCAGCCGCATTCACCCATCCATCCATCCACGCAGAGCCATCTATGGCTCTGTGTATATGGTCTAATGAGGCGCCCCTACACTTCCTCGAGGAAGTGGAGGGTATTTCGGGAACCCTCGGTACAGATCACGCGATTTCTCGTTGCGGCTCCGCGGCTGCGCGCGCGTCGCGGCAGCTACCGCCAGCAGCTGTCGCAGCCATCCGCCATCCCGCCCATCTGCCGGAACGTCGTACGTCGTTGGCGGAATACCGTGTCAGTTGCAGCGTAAACGCGAAAGGTGACTTGAGTTCGCTATCGGAAGTAACTCACCTTCATGTCTTGCAGTGTCACAGACTCCACTTATTTTGGACCGCGACCGTGGCAGGGTTCGACTAGGTTCGACAAAGCGTTGGCGCAGCAGACGACAAAGGCGGTGCGGTACGAAGGAGAGAGATGAAAAAAGGTGCAGACCCTCTCCCCTCTGCCATCGTTGCTCGTCGCCCGTCCGACGATCCGACCTGGCTATCCGGCTCTGGGGTGCTCGAACGTTGTTGCTATGGTAACCTGCGCCTGCTTGCGTATGCTACGGGGTAGCGGGAGGAAAGACGATGGGAAGGGCGTACTGAGTACTCCCATTATTCGTCGCGCGGCAGTGAGTTATCGACATATTTATGCGATCTCAGAAACCTCCTCAGGGCAACTCTAGGCATGAACGGAGTACACCATATGACGCTACCGTCAGCACTCCATGGTCGTATCTTCAGGACACGCCCGGCCCCCTTGGCCGAAACAGGCCTATGCGGGGAGCATGTTCATCTGCTTCTTGCGCAGGGGTTGCAGTGACGTCAGAACTCCGTGCTCTGACTGGCTGGATTAGAATAAATTGAAGGCAGCTGGCATTGAAGTCTGCGTGCCCACCATCCTTTCAATCAGAGCTTGGCGTTCTGACGTTACCGGAACTAGCGCACAAGATGCAGACGAACCTGCGCTTCGCATAGTCTCTGACAACCTAAAAAACGAAGGGCGGGGTCTATTATGTACACGCTTCTTTTTGCCTCCTGATTAATTCTTTCGGGTTCTTATCGACAAATATCGCGATCTCATTTGCTGAGAAGCGATAACGATATGCTCGGTACTCGCCACACCCTCCGTTTCTTAAAAGAACACTGCAATAAAAACAATTTTAAAGCTTATTTGGGGTTTTGTTTTGTTTTTTTAACGAAAGAACCGGAAACGGATTTACGAAACACCCTACGCTGAAGACCGCCGGAGTGGAAACAAAAAGAAGAAACAAACAAACAAAACCATCCTTTGCGGAGCTGACTGCATGCCGCATTGATTTCTTTCAGAAGACAGTCTGAATAGTCGGTGCTAACCGCGGAAATGCGACTGAGCCCCAAAGGATGCACGTATGGTCTCTGTCCATGGAGCTCATAGTGTTACTCAATGTTTCGTTCATTCCTAAGCTGACAGTACGGTGGAAGCTACTTGCTTATTGGATCAATCGTACGTCCACCTTTCTCCTCATGATCAGGCTCCTGGCCAAACCCACGCGCAGAGAGAAAGAGAGAGAGAGAGCAGGATCAGGTGGTGGAAGGGAGGCGGTTGTTTGGTCCGGCGAGCACGTTGCTCCCACCGCGCTTTCAGGTTAGGGATGAACGGAGCATAGTTTCTCCCCTAGTCTTCTAGGCGAGGGAAAAGCAAAATGGGGTAATCAAGGACAAAAAGGTTTGAAAGGGGGAGTGAGGCGTCAGACAGAAGATGAAAGGCCGCCGTCTTGTCTGAATGCGCGGATGGCAAATATATAGAATGCGTCTATGTCACGTCCCCCGTACTTTCCTGGTGGGGCAAGTCGGCTTCGAGAAGCAAAGCAAAATCAGACGAGAAAGCAATTGGGCGGAAATTGGGAATGGTGTGTTTGGAAGGGAACGGATTATCCGAGAATCCTGAACCCGTCGACGGGCTCTGCTGGTTTCCCGTGGAAGGCACGTGTCGACAGACTCTGGTTTCCCGTAAAAAGAAAGAGGAAAAAAAGGCAACACACACCTATCTTGGAAGTCATTGGGATACTTGCCCAATCACCTCTTTGGGCAAAGGACCGAAAAGTGCCACAAAGGACACCATCATCATCAACATCAACTGCAAGAGCGAGCCTATCCCCCAGTGCCTGACCTTGCTGCGCTGGTTGCCACGGTAGTTCTCTTTGGTCCCGTTTCGATGTAGGGGGCCGGTAATTACGACTCCAGGGTTTTATTGGGTTGATCGGATTGCTTCGATTGGACTCGTAAGAGTACGTTTCGGTACGTGCGTTCGTGCAAACACGCGCGAGACAGGGCCACTCCTTGCGGGTTATAAGACAGCAGGTTGAATCCAAGAACTATATACTTGCGGTTGGGCGAACAGGAGCGACATCCATTTTTCGAGGGTTTTGCGTTCGAACGCCGAACAACAGTCCCTGTGCGAAGAGCGGGCGAGACGTTCTCCGCTTTAATTAGAGGGAGGCAGCCGGGAACGGTAACTGTCTTTTGTCTGCCCACTATCCTGCCAATCAGAGCTCGGCACTCTTACGTCACGGCACGTTCTCATCTCCTCCTTTGCTTCACTCCTGTCCGTCTTTGGCGCACCGGAACGCGAAAACAGCAGTGACGAGGGCAACCAAGCGTGCGCCGTCATTGACCGCGGGGTGGACAAAGGCACGTGGAC